GATCCTTCCTACCAAATTTGGCTGTAATTAGACCTGAATGAGTTCAAAGAAAGGTCTAACAGACAGACAAAAGATTGCAAATGAAATACAATGTATAAATAAATATTAGCACTTTTCATTGTGACTTGGAGCCTTTCATATAAATTAAAATGCAAAATCTCAATATTAGAAAGGAGACTGACATTGCTGAGCACTGTTTGACAGGATCCAATAGGAATCTGTTTACAATATTTAACGGTCTACACTCAACAAAAAGGTGGGAATTGGGAGAACATTTGGTAAACATTTTGTAACAAATCTGGGAAAAGCATTGTTAATATCATATTATCAAGTACACATTACTTGCCCAAGTGTACATAGCTCGGAATATTACATTCTGTATCATAAAACACAATATTTTGTGAAAAGCTTTTGTTACATAGATATTTAAATGATAAATAAGTGTAGCTATCACTGAAACATCATATAATGTATAGGCCAAGGTGTTTATCATATTCTAATATATGTAGATGTCACAAGCTGAATAACCTTGGAATGCTGTTAGAGAATATTTCAATATAAAGACTTCAGAAACGTATGAATACTGTTCGCAAATTTAAATTAAGATAATGAAAGAAATCAATTTAAAAAAAAAAAAAATCCCACTATTGACTTTGGGGAAGACTTCAAGTGTTTTACATTAACACAACATTGTGACACTGTATTGTAATTTTTTCATCAACAATATCTTTCAAAACATTATGCCTGATCGGTGATTGGTTGACTGTGGTGGGCTTAATTAATACTCTACCTATTTATATACAGCTGTGTGATGGGTGTCAACATGTGAGTCTCTGTTGAGACTAAAGATACATTTTTTAAGGAAAGACGACAAATTTTCTACCAAAACATTACTTCTTGAAGTATACCAAATAATATTCCACATCTTTTTCAAGATCAAGTAAAAAAAATAAACATGAATTCCTAAACAATTCAGAGTGTGACATAAGCTCATTATACCTGCATTGGAAAGGCTAGAATGTTGTACTTTTACCTAATGAATGCTGTTGGTAAACTTTCTTCACAAAATTCTCACACATTTTTCATTTCCATTACATCCTATATCAGTAAAAGTAGAGTGATCCGTGATCCCAAAGCTTAATGCTCAACTACAGCACAGATGCGAAATCTACGATACAAACCCACACCAGGTGTTTAACACACTTGTCAAAACTATCCCTTTTAGAGCAATTTGTACGGGGGTAACAACTTACTCCGTCTCGGTATGTATTAACTATTGTCATATGTTTACTTTTTGGTATGTTTTCAAAAATATTCTGCAAGTTTACATTTATATACATGTATAAAACTTACTGTTCTTAAATATGAAATTATTGATGAATAAAACATTCAAACACATAGGAATACAAGCACTGTTCGTTTCTATTGGGAACAAACATAACCAAAGGTAATTGATATGAATATTATCATGTAGAATGGATGTTTAAGCGTGTGGATTGATAATAAGCACATTGATGAACATTGCACAATTCAAAGATTTTACCCGCAGATTATAATGATAAATTTGTAAGACAAGACCACAAAGCTGTAATAGTACAGCGTTAACTTAATGCTCTACTTCATATCATGGGATCTTACTCCAAACATTTAAGATATTCATGTTGTCTAAGTCTGGCAGAATCAAAGACGACATAAACATTAGTGTGGATGAATCGTTGACTAGATTTTGGGTACCATTATATGCCCGGCACATATATCAGATGTAGACATAACACAACACCAAACCATTAATGATATACATGTACCAGCAGGGGTCGGCACTAACACTAGTCCGCTAGTACTAGACTAGTAGATTTCAGTGTGAAGACAGTTCACACTGAAATCTACTAGGCCAGGACTAGCGGACTAGTGTTAGTGTCGACCCCTGACTTCACACTGAAATCTACTAGGCCAGGACTAGCGGACTAGCGGTAGTGTCGACCCCTGACTTCACACTGAAATCTGCTAGTCCAGGACTAGCGGACTAGTGTTAGTGTCGACCCCTGACCAGGTAACCAAACTTACATATAGAATACTCCACACTACAGAAATATACCTGTACTCAACACACCAAACCAACACCGCCACACAACACAAAACTTATTTCTTTTTAAATGGGCCTTTTTTTCTTCCACTAAATGGTGTTTAAAGATTAAATTTCAAACAGTTTGATGCAATAAAACATTCCCAAATCATTACAATAACACCCAAACAATACAATAAATAAGTTCCATGTATACAATGCTTCCATGAAAAGATTTCTATTTCACACTGATACTTACACCTTAATAATCAATACATGCATGTAAATAATAAAATTGCACCATAAAGTTAAATAACTTCGAAATTTGGTAGAGAGTCCCATCACTTTCCCACTGTATACAGGCCATACGGTAGAAATAGTCAGCACAAGTTTGCAATATAACAATCATACATTGTAACAGTTATAAAACTGTCATACACTGTAACAGTTATAAAACTGTCATACATTGTAACAGTCATACACTGTAACAGTTATAAAACTGTCATACATTGTAACTGTCATACACTATAACAGTTATAAAACTGTCATACATTGTAACTGTCATACACTGTTAGTAACACAGTCATAATCTTACAGTTATACACTGTTATAGTCAGCAATATAAACAAGCAAATTCGTGGAATCTATATCCCCCGCTTGCAGGACATATTTTAGGTAAACATTATTGAGGTTAGGTTTAAACATGTGAGTATCGTGCTGTTGAGAAAAAATGTATAGCTTGAAATTTTGAAGAAAAAAAGCAGCCTTATACTTCATTAATTATCCGTAAATATGCACAAATCACATCGGTTGGCAAACTTAGAATGAGTCAGATGTGCATACGGAATTTGGTTGAAATATCTGCACAATATCTACAGCAATTATCACACGAAAACCAAAGAGTGCCCAAGATGGGTGGAAAGACAGAGGAACACAAACATTGTTATCAAGTTTGAAGGAATTTGGCTAATATTTGCTAGAGTTATTAAGCAGAAACTGCAGATAATGACGTATTTCGTTAATCAAGGGGCCATAACTCGGCCAAATGGAGTCCGATTAAAGTGGTCATCAAACTTGGCCAACCCCTTCAGGCATTTAACCCTGTGACCAAGTCTGAAGAAAATCGGTTAACATTTGTTGTAGTTATTGCATGGAAACGAAGCGTGACAGACAGACGGACAAACCCAAATGAATATCCCCCGTTTCGGTGAAAGCGGGGGATAATAATATAAAAGAGAACATACAGTCTCATAATCAAGGTGATGTAGGACAGTTTTTGCCTCTTTCCATGACCCTGATTTAATTGGTGCTGGACAAACACATCTTTACGATCACAGGTACCATGCTTACACCATTAAAACATTGAAACACTCCTATTAATATCAAATTGAATGTTAAACAGGTTGTTGGTGTAATGGTAATAGTACTGAATATTATTGGTGAAATGGTTATAGTAATGTACATTATTTGGTGTAATGGTAATATTACTGTACATATTGGTGTAATGGTTATAGTACTGTACATTATTTGGTGTAATGGTAATATTACTGTACATATTGGTGTAATGGTTATAGTACTGTACATGATTGGTGTACTGGTTATAGTAATGTACATTATTGGTGTAAGGGTTATAGTACTGTACATTATTGGTGTAATGGTTATAGTACTGTACAATATTGGTGTAATGGTTATAGTACTGTACATTATTGGGTAATGGTCATAGTACTGTATATTATTGGGTAATGGTTATAGTAATGTACATTATTTGGTGTAATGGTTATAGTACTGTACATTATTTGGTGTAATGGTAATATTACTGTACATATTGGTGTAATGGTTATAGTACTGTACATTATTGGTGTACTGGTTATAGTACTGTACATTATTGGTGTAATGGTTATAGTACTGTACATATTGGTGTAATGGTTAAAGTACTGTACATTATTGGTGTACTGGTTATAGTACTGTACATTATTGGTGTAATGGTTATAGAACTGTACATTATTGGTGTAATGGTTATAGTAATGTACATATTGGTGTAATGGTTAAAGTACTGTACATTATTGGTGTACTGGTTATAGTACTGTACATTATTGATGTAATGGTTATAGTACTGTACATTATTGGTGTACTGGTTATAGTACTGTACATTATTGGTGTAATGGTAATAGTACTGTACTTTCTTAGTGCAATGGTTATAGTACTGTACATTATTGGTGTAGTGGTTATAGTACTGTACATTATTGGTGTAATGGTAATAGTACTGTACTTTATTAGTGCAATGGTTATAGTACTGTACATTATTGGTGTAATGGTTATAGTACTGTACATTATTGGTGTAATGGTTATAGTACTGTACATTATTGGTGTAATGGTTATAGTACTGTATATTATTGGTGTAATGGTTATAGTACTGTATATTATTGGTGTAATGGTAAAAGTGCTGTAGATTATTGGTGTAATGGCAATATTACTGTACATTATTGGTGTAATGGTTATAGTACTGTACATTATTGGTGTAATGGTTATATTACTGTTCATTATTGGTGTAATGGTTATAGTACTGTACATTATTGGTGTAATGGTTATAGTACTGTACATTATTGGTGTAATGGTAATAGTACTGTACCTTATTGGTGTAATGGTTATAGTACTGTACATTATTTGGTGTAATGATTATAGTACTGTACATTATTGGTGTAATGGTAATAGTACTGTACATTATTGGGGTAATGGCAATATTACTGTACATTATTGTTGTAATGGTTATAGTTAGTACTGTACATTATAGGTGTAATGGTAATATTACTGTACATTATTGGTTTAATGGTAATAGTACTGGACCTTATTGGTGTAATGGCAATAGTACTGTACATTATTGTTGTAATGGTTATAGTTAGTACTGTACATTATTGGTGTAATGGTTATAGTACTGTACATTAATGGTGTAATGGTAATAGTACTGTACAATATAGTACTGTAGTAACGGAACCAGCGTGAAAAATCTAAGAAAGAACATAGTGATAAGACACCTTTATCCTGATCATGACTGCCTGGTGTCCTGCTGTTCTCCCTACTCAAAACAGAAGCAATGGTGCAGAACAAAGACCCAAAAAGTACCTGTATAACCAATGGTAACCTGTGCAAACAATGGTTTGTTTTTGTTTACGTCCTAATAACAGCTACGGTCATTTAAGGAAGCGCTAGGTTTTGGTGGTGGAGGAAAGAGAAAAAACCCTGATCTAAGGCCAGAACCTGGCGACTGCTCCGTGTAGGCCTCGAACCCATGGACAAGTGGTGGAGGGCTAGTGGTAGCAGAATGTCAGATGCCTTCACCACTTCGCCACCGTGGCCCCTCTGTGTAAGCAATGGTAACTTTTGAAACCAATGGGGACTGTGTAACCAATGGGAACCAGTGTAACCAACAGTAACCTGTGTAGCAAACGGTAATCTGTGTAACCAATGGGACCAGTGTAAACAATTTCTTTTCTTGCACGAGTTTCGTTTCATCCAGTTATCAGATTTTGATGACACATCAAATCACCATTTTCTTGTTATTGACTCGAAATTATATCCTGCTTTCTATTCTTTAATTATTTTCAGTTATGTTTGCTGGTGAGATAATATTATAATTTTTCTCACAGAGTTCACCTTCTTAACTGTACAGCACTGGGACTAGGTAACATGGCCAGTTTACAGAGTTCTGGATTTGGTCGATGTAGATAACATTTAGACAGGGCAGACTCTAGTTTGACAGTGTGTATTGAACGTTTAGCCTGTAAAGGGTATGGTAAAATATCCTACAAATATATCAGGCAGTAGAACGTGAAATAACTTGGTGCTGAATATTTGGATATTCCAAAATTAACAGTATGGGAGGGATGGGGGGCACTTTTTCAGAGGCCCCACCACCCAACAAGTATTAAAACAGACTAATATAGGGCATGGTAGGCAGATCTGGATTTAGCCCCACTGCCCACAATATGTTAATTACAGGTGCCCTCCACCTCCCCCATACACTCATTTAGCCCTCATTGAATGACTTAGTACATAACTATTTTACTCTGACGCTGCCTCTGCCTTTGGGATTTCATCAACTCTTGTTTCCTCAACTTTCTTAGTTTCCTCAACTTTCTCCCCATTCTCTGATTCTACTCCCACTTCTTCATCTAAAACATGCACTCCATTTACTTCCATATCTTCCTCAATGTTGTCTGTTGAACTGGTGAGACTTTCTAGTTCTTCACCTCCAACTTCTGTTTGACCCCTGGCCTCTGCCTGACCCCTGGCCTCTGCTACTCCTTCCTGAGAACTTGACTCTGTATTATGCTGACTGGTTGTGGCAATATCATCACCATTTACTTCCTCAGAGCTTTCTTCACTATCTTCTTCTTCACTTTCCTCTTCTTCTTCATCATCATGCTTTGAAAAATCTACAGAAGACAAATCCAATATCTATGAAATTAAGAGTTAAAGAATTGAGAATCACAAATGAAACGGACCTAAATTTCATGGCTGAATGGGTTATGTCCTAATGAAATGGTTATGTTTTACAAATTGTGTGTAAGTAACATTAGTGCTATCTTTTTAAACAAGTTTTCTGAATTTCAAAACATCTATAATCAATGCACATCCCCTTATCAGAAATACCTTATCTAAAGTCCAAATGTTTCCCTTCGTCAGTTTGAAATTCGACATCATACTTGACATCAATTTGATTCATCATTTAAAGGAGAATGGTTTCAAGACTGAACAAGACTCATCCTACGGTAAGCCTTGAAATACGAGGTTGGAAGGAGCAAAGCAAGTGTACCTTTTGAACCCAGTATAAAGTATAGGTAGATGTGGTCGTTTACCTGACCCCCAGTATAGAGTAAAGTTTACCTGACACCAGTATAGAGTATAGGTAGATGTGGTAGTTTACCTGACCCCAGTATAGAGTTAAGGTAGATGTGGTCGTTTACCTGACCCCAGTAAAGAGTATAGGTAGATGTGGTCGTTTACCTGACCCCAGTATAGAGTATAGGTAGATGTGGTAGTTTACCTGACCCCAGTATAGAGATAGGTAGATGTGGTCGTTTACCTGACCCCAGTATAGAGATAGGTATATGTGGTAGTTTACCTGACCCCAGCATAGAGTAAAGGTAGATGTGGTCGTTTACCTGACCCCAGTATAGAGAAAGGTAGATGTGGTAGTTTACCTGACCCCAGCATAGAGTAAAGGTAGATGTGGTCGTTTACCTGACCCCAGCATAGAGTAAAGGTAGATGTGGTTGTTTACCTGACCCCAGTATAGAGAAAGGAAGATGTGGTCGTTTACCTGACCCAAGTATAGAGTATAGGAAGATATGGTAGTTTAACTGACCCCAGTATAGAGTATATGTAGATGTGGTAGTTCACCTGACCCCAGTATAGAGTATAGGAAGATATGGTAGTTTACCTGACCCCAGTATAGAGTATAGGAAGATATGGTCGTTTACCTGACCCCAGTATAGAGTACAGGAAGATGTGGTAGTTTACCTGACCCCAGTATAGAGTATAGGTAGATGTGGTAGTTTACCTGACCACAGTATAGAGTATAGGAAGATGTGGTCGTTTACCTGACCCCAGTATAGAGTATAGGTAGATGTGGTCATTTACCTGACCACAGTATAGCTCTAGGTAGATGTGGTCGTTTACCTGACCCCAGTATAGAGTATAGGTAGATGTGGTTGTTTACCTGCTCCTGAAGGCTTTTGTAACGGTCGAACTCCAGTTGTTGCTGTCACAGTGTCTAGTTTTGGAGCATAAGGCTTCTGTTTCTTAGCTAGGTTCATCTGGTAGCAATAGCAACATCGAAAGCCTACAACAAAACAGGGGAGGGTACATATTACATTATAGGAAACTCAGTTTTACAGTGTCAGTGTGCATTCAGAGGTAACAGCAATGATACCAGGATTACCGGAAAATTACAACAATCACCATTTTGAGACAAAATATGGGAGAAAAGCAGTTAAGAATAGCAAAGGAAACAACAATGTTCAAAATAGATCATAGCATCATGTAGGTGCTGGTTATATAGAAAATAAACTGTCAGGTGAAGAAGTTGGTGACAAAACCACCTCAGCAAACCTCAGTTCTGACCTCCAAATTCTACATTGTGTAGAACTTCCATTTCCCAAAACTACAAATCTAGATTCTATTAATCCCTCTCGAGTATGTGAGAAAATTTAGCCTATACATATTTCTTTTGAAACAATGAAATCAATGCAAAGTTTTGAAAACTGACAAGCATGTTTTTCGAGTGTCTTGTCATGACTATTCCATATGTGTTGGATAAACTATTCCACCGATGAAATAGAATTGGCAGCAGGGCAGTATTTGTAGTAGATACTGCAAGTAACAAAATTACAATACCAAGGCTGCATTTGGTATAAAGTAATACTACCACATTTGATTCCCCATCATCTGGGAATGCTTCCAACAAAATAGGTTTAAGATCCATCGCATTGTTGCAGAGGAGATATGTTTTAGATATGGCTAAATTACCCATGTTTGGCCCCTCAGCTCCTCCAGTTATATGTTTTAGATATGGCTAAATTACCCCTGTTTGGCCCCTTAGCTCCTCCAGTTATATGTTTTGAATCTCCATCCCTTAAGGTGCTCCCAGTCAAATTTTGTAAATAAAATTCCGTTCAATGGTTCCTTGGAAGAAGATATTTGAAGGAATTGCTGACAGGCAGAGGGAGGTATAACAGACGAACGAGGTGAGATAAAACTGCTAACCTCCAAATGAAGTCTGGCAGACATTGATATACTACTCACTTAAATACTCAAACTCCTCCTTGAGAGCCATTCCGTTGTGACTGTGGCAGTATCGACAGATGAGAGCGAACCTGTTCTGAGGGCCATCTCCTACAAGGTACTCGAGTAGTCTATCTGTGGTGCTCCTCTCCCGAGGCAGAACAGGTCGGGGCAGAGGAGGCCCGGGGGTCCTGCCTAAAGTCATATATAGCATAAAGGTTAAAAGCTGAAAGCAATGTATAGGATCTTTCACTTAAATTCAAATTTCCCTTCAGTAAACTTTGTTCTTACCCTATGCGCTTCACCATTTTTCCAAATACAGTAATACCCCCTCCCCCTGCTCCTATATAAACCAGAACTGTAAACAAAAGGCTAACTAATACCCCTGCTCCCATATAAACCAGAACTGTAAACCAAAGGCTAACTAATACCCCTGCTCCTATATAAACCAGAACTGTAAACCAAAGGTTAACTAATACCCCCCTACCCCTGCTCCTATATAAACCAGAACTGTAAGCCAAAGGCTAACTAATACTCCCTCCCCCTGCTCCTATATAAACCAGAACTGTAAACAAAAGGCTAACTAATACCCCTGCTCCCATATAAACCAGAACTGTAAACCAAAGGCTAACTAATACCCCTTCTCCTATATAAACCAGAACTGTAAACCAAAGGCTAACTAATACCCCCCTTCCCCTGCTCCTATATAAACCAGAACTGTAAGCCAAAGGCTAACTAAGGTATAATGATTGCCCAGATGAACCAGTTATGCTGAAATTGTCCTTGTAGTTAAGGAAGAGTTGTCAGGACAAAGATTTTTATCAAAGGGCCATTACTCCTTAAAAGGGTTGAAATGAAAAAATACTACCCTGATGCACGACATCAGGGGGTTATATCCATATCTGTAAACTTTCTTGAAAACGGCCTAGTAGATTAGGAGAAGTTGTCAGGACAAGGATTTTTCAACAAAGGGCCATAACTCCATTATAAAGGGTTGGAAAAAAATACCTGGATGCACAACATCAGGTGGTAGTTATCAAACTTGAACACTTTTATTGAAATTGTCCCAGTAGTTTTGGAGAAGTTGTCCGGACAAGGATTTTTCAACATAGGGCCATAACTTTGTAAAAAAAGGTCAGAATGAGAAAATAATACCTGGATGCACAACTTCAGGTGATAGTAATCATGTCTGGAAACTTTGTTGAAACTGGTATTGTGTGCAAGATTTGAATTTACGATCAATTTGCACTATTATTTTTGGCATGTGCGGATTGGAAATATTTGTAACAGCTTTTATTATACACCCTTTTAACTCATTCACCCCTGAAATTTCATAATGAACTATTCCAGCCTTTGAATTGGAAGCGGTCAAATGCGGTTTCAGGGGTGAATGAGTTAAAGATATACCAGACATTAAAGACCTTTTCTTGTTTTTCCAATATTGCAAGCCTTACAAACTCTACACAAGAATGATTAATGATGAACCATGGATGAAAGACGATTTGAACTGCCTATCGTCTGATGATGTGCTGAAAATATCTGCTCAAATTAGAAGGTGTTTTTACAGTGACACTGTGTAGCAAGTGTTAAGCTCAGCCTCTTATTGGCGAAAGGGTGCAGTAGATATGTAGGACTTTGGGTAAATACACTGCGTTTCAGATTCTTTTAATGGAACAAGTTTTAAAAAAAAAAAGAGGAAAAATTGACAAACTTCACACAATAAATCAACATCAAAAACACATGCAAGTACAGAAATAAATACATTTATGCATCAGACTTACGACAAATTCAAGCCATCAGATTAGCAAAGTCCTGATAGCCGAGTCTCACAGAGTATACATAACAAATATAGGTTCAATGAGATGACGTCATGCTGCAACAACTTTGACATCATTTCAATCTATTTCGCTTGCTTTTATTATCCAAGTAATTTATTGCAATCTTATTCATATATACATATTATAGTCATATAATTTAATTTTGCCTATCTCCCCCATAATATTTTTTTTGGTATATATTGTATATACCTAAAAAGAAAAACAACTGATGACGGAACTACTTTTTACACTTCAGAATGCAAAATTATAACGCTGCTTTTTTTAGCGCTATTGTTTAGTTTACGTAAAAATTAAATAAATCTTTAACTGTGCATTTACAACATGTTTGTCTTCTTTTTTAAAATCAAATTATAAAGAATGCCCAAGATTTTGTTTTGGTATATACCGTATATACCGAAACAAAATCTTGGTCATTCCTTAAATAGTCTCCAGGAACATTCTGTAGCCTCAGGGTGGATATTTCTATCTTAAATATATACATACCCAAGTATGTTAGCAATATTTCTCTACACACTAACTTGGTTCATCTGGAAATTCCTTGCAACTGCATACATGAAATTATCAGAGAAATCATTATCTTTTAAAAATGATTTAAATATTTTAGTTGATCAGGAATCATTTCATCTTTTAAATCCTTATCAACTATTTACTGAAAAGCATTAATGGTCACCGAAATTGCAACAGGGATCTTCTAGTGATGGGGACACAGTACCTTCCTAGGGAAAGAGAGACTTTCCAGTGATTGGGACACAGTACTTTCCTAGGGACCAAGGGAACTTCTAGTGTTGGGGACACAGTACCTTCCTAGGGACCAAGGGAACTTCTAGTGATGGGGACACAGTACCTTCCTATGGACCAAGGGAACTTCTAGTGATGGGGACACAGTAGCTTACTAGGGACCAAGGGAAATTCTAGTGATGGGGACACAGTACCTTCATAGGGACCAAGGGAAATTCTAGTGATGGGGACACAGTACCTTTATAGGGACCAAGGGAACCTCTAGTGATGGGGACACAGTACCTTCCTAGGGACCAAGGGAACTTCTAGTGATGGGGACACAGTACCTTCCTATGGACCAAGGGAACTTCTAGTGTTGGGGACACAGTACCTTCCTAGGGACCAAGGGAAATTCTAGTGATGGGGACACAGTAGCTAACTAGGGACCAAGGGAAATTCTAGTGATGGGGACACAGTACCTTCATAGGGACCAAGGGAACTTCTAGTGATCGGGACACAGTACCTTCCTAGGGAACAAGGGAACTTCTAGTGATGGGGACACAGTACCTTCATAGGGAACAAGGGAACTTCTAGTGATGGGGACCCAGTACCTTCCTAGGGAACAAGGGAACTTCTAGTGATAGGGACACAGTACCTTCATAGGGACCAAGGGAACTTCTAATGATCGGGACACAGTACCTTCATAGGGAACAAGGGAACTTCTAGTGATGGGGACACAGTGCTTTCCTAGGGAACAAGGGAACTTCTAGTGATGGGGACACAGTACCTTCATAGGGACCAAGGGAACTTCTAATGATCGGGACACAGTACCTTCATAGGGAACAAGGGAACTTCTAGTGATGGGGACACAGTACCTTCCTAGGGACCAAGGGAACTTCCTGTGATGGGGACACGGTACCTTCCTAGGGAACGAGGGAACATCTAGTGATGGGGACACAGTACCTTCCTAGGGACCAAGGGAACTTCCTGTGATGGGGACACAGTACCTTCCTAGGGAACGAGGGAACTTCTAGTGATGGGGACACAGTACCTTCCTAGGGACCAAGGGAACTTCTAGTGATGGGGACACAGTGCCTTCATAGGGACCAAGGGAACTTCTAGTGATGGGGACACAGTACCTTCCTAGGGAACGAGGGAACTTCTAGTGATGGGGACACAGTAGCTTCCTAGGGACCAAGGGAACTTCTAGTGATGGGGACACAGTACCTTCATAGGGATTGAGGACATTTTCAGTGATGGGGACACAGTACCTTTCTAGGGATTGAGGACATTTTCAGTGATGGGGACACAGTACTTTCCTAGGGAACCAAGGGAACTTCTAGTGTTGGGGACACAGTATTTTCCTAGGGGTAGGGATTGAGGAAATTTTTAGTGATGGGGACACAGTACTTTCCTAGGGACCAAGCGAATTTCTAATGATGGGGACACAGTTTTCACTTTTTCATTGAACATATGTTTTATCATTATTCTATCAGTGATATCAAATATAAAATTAAGTTGAAATCTGTGAATATGAATTAGTAGTCATTTCAATATAAACACAATCAACCTGTCCTGTTAGGAACCCTAACCCTCTACCCACGAAAGGCAACAGTCCACATTTAAACAAAATATAACCTTCCTATTTCAGTGATTCTTAATAGTTAATTAAATTGGAATCTAGCAAACTATTCTTGAGTAGTAGTCATGAAGAGATTACAATATCAACTTCAAACTGACCTTTGACCCCGGTCAGATTGAAAACTTTACCTTGAAATATGTGCATGGTTAATTTACATAGCATACTGAGCTCTAGCCCTTAGGCTTTTTAGATGATTTTGTTCGCAGATGTTAACAGATTTGACCAATTGAATCAATATTAGGGTAATTAATTTAAACAACATTAAACGCATTGTCAACAAGAAGTGTCAATTAGATCGCAATTGTAATTGGGCCAACAAAATAAATTAACATGTATACTACAACCTACTGTTTATACCTGTTACTGTTTGATTGAATATCTTACACCATATTGCTTTAGTTCTACATTTCATTTTAAAAGTAGATTGTGTATATGGATACATGTACCTCACATTACATCCAGTGTATCGATCGTACCAGTACATTCAATAACTCTCAGTACACAACCATTAGAGTGTTGGTATACTAGGCTGCTTTTCGAGTGTTTACAAACATTTCTATGAGACGGAATTCTATGGGACAGAATAGCATGCAAGATTCCAAACTCTGCAATAAACTCACAGGGGTCACTAGGCAGGACACAGTACTAAGTTGCGGGCTCATCGTTGCTCATTTGAATTGCAAAATCAGTCCTCTTACATAACCTACATTTTGAAAATACTGCTATGTCTTACTGCTAGGAAGCGGCTCAAAGTTGGTGGAATTTCAGCCCCTGAACACTTGTTTACCTACACTTTTACACAGTGTACAAGAAGTTCACTTGAACAAAAAATTAATCTGATGTGATGCATGATTCGAAAATTTGGATTTATACTATGTATCACGTACAGAAGTCTTGGCATAAATATTGGGTCTGAAAAAATGTCTTAATCTGACTCGATAATGAGCTCAATCTATGGCCAATCAGAGGTGTGTTAGCTATTTCCTAACACTAAATTATCTAGTGGTTACCTGGCATCGATAATGAGCTCAATCTATGGCCAATCAGAGGTGTGTTAGCTATTTCCTAACACTAAATTATCTAGTGGTTACCTGGCATCGATAATGAGCTCAATCTATGGCCAATCAGAGGTGTGTTAGCTATTTCCTAACACTAAATTATCTAGTGGTTACCTGGCATCGATAATGAGCTCAATCTGTGGCCAATCAGAGGTGTGTTAGCTATTTCCTAACACTAAATAATCTAGTGGTTACCTGGCATCGATAATGAGCTCAATCTATGGCCAATCAGAGGTGTGTTAGCTATTTCCTAACACTAAATTATCTAGTGGTTACCTGGCATCGATAATGAGCTCAATCTATGGCCAATCAGAGGTGTGTTAGCTATTTCCTAACACTAAATTATCTAGTGGTTACCTGGCATCGATAATGAGCTCAATCTATGGCCAATCAGAGGTGTGTTAGCTATTTCCTAACACTAAATTATCTAGTGGTTACCTGGCATCGATAATGAGCTCAATCTGTGGCCAATCAGAGGTGTGTTAGCTATTTCCTAACACTAAATTATCTAGTGGTTACCTGGCATCGATAATGAGCTCAATCTGTGGCCAATCAGAGGTGTGTTAGCTATTTCCTAACACTAAATTATCTAGTGGTTACCTGGCATCGATAATGAGCTCAATCTGTGGCCAATCAGAGGTGTGTTAGCTATTTCCTAACACTAAATTATCTAGTGGTTACCTGGCATCGATAATGAGCTCAATCTGTGGCCAATCAGAGGTGTGTTAGCTATTTCCTAACACTAAATAATCTAGTGGTTACCTGGCATCGATAATGAGCTCAATCTGTGGCCAATCAGAGGTGTGTTAGCTATTTCCTAACACTAAATAATCTAGTGGTTACCTGGCATCGATAATGAGCTCAATCTGTGGCCAATCAGAGGTGTGTTAGCTATTTCCTAACACTAAATAATCTAGTGGTTACCTGGCATCGATAATGAGCTCAATCTGTGGCCAATCAGAGGTGTGTTAGCTATTTCCTAACACTAAATAATCTAGTGGTTACCTGGCATCGATAATGAGCTCAATCTGTGGCCAATCAGAGGTGTGTTAGCTATTTCCTAACACTAAATAATCTAGTGGTTACCTGGCATCGATAATGAGCTCAATCTGTGGCCAATCAGAGGTGTGTTAGCTATTTCCTAACACTAAATTATCTAGTGGTTACCTGGCATCGATAATGAGCTCAATCTGTGGCCAATCAGAGGTGTGTTAGCTATTTCCTAACACTAAATTATCTAGTGGTTACCTGGCATCGATAATGAGCTCAATCTATGGCCAATCAGAGGTGTGTTAGCTATTTCCTAACACTAAATTATCTAGTGGTTACCTGGCATCGATAATGAGCTCAATCTGTGGCCAATCAGAGGTGTGTTAGCTATTTCCTAACACTAAATTATCTAGTGGTTACCTGGCATCGATAATGAGCTCAATCTGTGGCCAATCAGAGGTGTGTTAGCTATTTCCTAACACTAAATTATCTAGTGGTTACCTGGCATCGATAATGAGCTCAATCTATGGCCAATCAGAGGTGTGTTAGCTATTTCCTAACACTAAATTATCTAGTGGTTACCTGGCATCGATAATGAGCTCAATCTATGGCCAATCAGAGGTGTGTTAGCTATTTCCTAACACTAAATTATCTAGTGGTTACCTGGCATCGATAATGAGCTCAATCTGTGGCCAATCAGAGGTGTGTTAGCTATTTCCTAACACTAAATTATCTAGTGGTTACCTGGCATCGATAATGAGCTCAATCTGTGGCCAATCAGAGGTGTGTTAGCTATTTCCTAACACTAAATTATCTAGTGGTTACCTGGCATCGATAATGAGCTCAATCTGTGGCCAATCAGAGGTGTGTTAGCTATTTCCTAACACTAAATTATCTAGTGGTTACCTGGCATCGATAATGAGCTCAATCTGTGGCCAATCAGAGGTGTGTTAGCTATTTCCTAACACTAAATAATCTAGTGGTTACCTGGCATCGATAATGAGCTCAATCTGTGGCCAATCAGAGGTGTGTTAGCTATTTCCTAACACTAAATAATCTAGTGGTTACCTGGCATCGATAATGAGCTCAATCTGTGGCCAATCAGAGGTGTGTTAGCTATTTCCTAACACTAAATAATCTAGTGGTTACCTGGCATCGATAATGAGCTCAATCTGTGGCCAATCAGAGGTGTGTTAGCTATTTCCTAACACTAAATAATCTAGTGGTTACCTGGCATCGATAATGAGCTCAATCTATGGCCAATCAGAGGTGTGTTAGCTATTTCCTAACACTAAATTATCTAGTGGTTACCTGGCATCGATAATCAGCTCAATCTGTGGCCAATCAGAGGTGTGTTAGCTATTTTCTAACACTAAATTATCTAGTGGTTACCTGGCATCGTGTAGTCGTGTGTAGAACTAGGCCAAACTATAAATAATTAACACATTTTCTTCAATGGCCTGAAATATTTGACGTATTGAGATATCATATTTAACTAGCAGTAAGAATGTTTGATAATTAAAGGGAGTGAGCTGCTGGACATCTTGTAATCTTGTCAAAATTTAACCAAACATGCAGTGACATGCAACAATACCACACTTAGAATGGGAGGTAGCCCTAGGTTAGTTGACGTTTGAACTTCAAAGTAGTTCCTGGTAAAAAGGCGCTATCTGTAATTAAATAGGACCAAAAGCCTAACTCTTACAATGGTGGAGAAATTATTTTTTTTCCCTCTCAGAAACTACATGTATATTCATTTCCAACTTTTTGAATAGACAAATTGGTGTTTTTTTGTTTCTCTCTGAAATACATTCAATATTCTACACATTTTGTTGCCACCAATTTTGGATCTTGAAATGAAATACAGGGCATGAGCAGACCCTATGGAGATCAAATAACCTTATTGTACAAATTTACCTGTTTAGCCTTTCACCTGGATAATGTTTTAATTTACTTTTCTCTAAACTAAGTAAATATTTTAATAAAACAATAAGGCAGGTGTACACACCATTGTGCATAGGTGTCATAAGCATGCGTGGACGCAAGCCACCCTGTCGGGACATCTGTGGTGTACGAATACTTGTGCACTCTGCACTAGGTCTGTTTGCACCTAGAGTCATGCCTGGTCGCTGACCAGGTGTTACACCGGGCCGCATTCCTGGGGTCATGCCTAGCTGTGAACCTGGTCTAATACCTGGAGTGGCACTCTGTATAGGTGTGTAAGGAGCAGGAAGTCTCTGTGGCCCCTGGGGAGATACCCTCGCCCCTGATGCATTACCTCTGTGACGTAACGTAGACCCTGGAGGGGACACTGTGGGCGTGGCTGGAACAGGAGGCTGTCAACAAGTAGACATATGATTAGGTGTTGTACACAGGTTCTTATATAGGAATAGCACCAGAACACAGTACACCAACAAGTAGACATATGATTAGGTGTTGTACGCAGGTTCTTATATAGGAATAGCACCAGAATACAGTACACCAACAAGTAGACATATGATTAGGTGTTGTATGCAGGTTCTTATATAGGAATAGCACCAGAACACAGTACACCAACACCAGAACACAGTACACCAACACCAGAACACAGTACACCAACAAGTAGACATATGATTAGGTGTTGTACGCAGGTTCTTATATAGGAATAGCACCAGAATGAAGTACACAAGCATAGGCATATACTTTCACTTTCTCTTAAATTGATTTGTTGCATAAGCAATTATGTTATATGGCCATTTTCATAATAAAGTGATATAAAAATAACCACATCTGTTATTTGACTGAAGTGTGAATTTACTAAGGATGAATAGTTGAACAAGGAATTCTTACTAACGTGTCATACATAGAGAATCTTACACGAGTGTCCATGTCATATTGAATTTATTAAACTAGCTCAATAGTTTGATATGGCACAAGCCTTCAGGCGACTGTCATATCAATTTATTAAACGAGTTTAATCAATTCAATATGACATGAACATGAACGCAAGATTCTATTTATCACATAACAATCAAAGTTTGTAAAAAAAACTTAAAACACAATTTTGTGTTATCAGCTGACTCTATATACATCAAAACCAAAGTACTCCGATCATAATATTGTCGTTCCGCGCATGGACAAAGCAGTGCCAGCGTATTTTTAAAAAAGAGGCCCAATGGGCCTGCATTGCTCACCTGGTATAAAACTCACACTTGTAACCTTAAAAGTGATCTAAAATAAAGCTACAGGAAAAATATCAGTATTTATGATTAAAATTCATTCAAAAGACCCTGTTGTTGTTTTTTTAACATTTCACCCCTGTGATTAAAAGTCGAACAAAGTCATTATGTTGAACACATTGTATAGCCTTTCATCTCAGGATGCAACTTGCAAAGTATAAACATCTTGGGACCCGTCGTTATTCAGAAGAGGTTGTTTAAAGATTTAAAAAGAAATTGACCCCTATAACCTTGAATATAAGTCAAAGTCATTCACTTTAACAAACAAAGTATTCCTCGATCCAAGCATATACTACTGACTAAATATCAACATCCTGAGCCTTTTGGTTATTCAGAACAAGTTGTTGAAATATTTTGAACATATTTGCTCCTTGTGACCTTGAATATGATTCAAGGTCATACATTTATACAAACTTGGTAGCCCTTGATCCTAGTATGCTACTGACCAAATATCATCACCCTGAGCATTTTGGTTATTCAGAAGAAGTTGTTTAAAGTTTTTAACATATTTGACC